TATAAAAGTAATAAAAAATGGAAATTCACTGTATCCTAGAAGTGTGATAAGCTGTTATATCCCCACTACTCTGCACATTGAATCATTCACTGTATGTCATCAGCCAGGTATCAGAAAGGCAAATTCCTTGGAGTATTCTCTCAGATTACTTTTATTTATTTTACAGGTTATTTGTGAAATCCTAGCAATGTACACACAAATGCAAACAATCATCTTTTTCCTGTTTTCTTCCTGGCTCATCCTCTGACTTGTGCCTAACTTGTAAAAGCTTTGGAATGCTGACATGAAATAAGTAATCTGTCGCAGATTTACATGAACAAAAACTCCTTTGGTCATTCTGGCTGTTCAGAAAGACCTCAGAGTGAGCGAAATAACAGCCTTCTTGGCTTCCTGAGACTGATGCAAAACTGAGGTGAAGGGCACTATCCTGACATTTCCAGATTGTCACTAAAAGGACAGGACGAGAGGGAATGAGGTGTTCGCATCATGTGGATTACCAACGTGCATTTCAGAGCTATTATTCTTTCTTATGATACTCTTATTCCCTTATGGGAGTGGAAATACAGCCATTATAAAATTGCCTCAACTTCTGTGACAGGTATATGCACCAAATCAGGACAGCAGAGCTTTACACCCACTGCACACTAATAAGTAACTTCTCATGGGAGCTGACTTGCCAATACTTCTCTCTTCATCTAAACTCACTGAAATTGATGCAGACCCCAAGCAGAATGGTTAGAGATAAAATGCTACTCTTTACTGTTTTGACACTGTATGTCTTAATTTTGGATTGTTTCTGTCTATAACTGATATGCACTTGTAACCCCCCAACATCAAAATAGTATATGCTACAAGGATTTGTAAGAATAAGTTATAGACAGTAGACAGTTTCAAGCCTCTTAGTGTTACTGAGCACTAAGGACAACCTTTACGCCATAATCACTTGATAAACACACTAAAGCACAGCTCTCTAACTTCAGTGGTAGCTCTGATACTTTCTGAATTACTGACATTCAGTACCTCAAAAAAAATCTGATGAGTTTCAGAGGCCTGAAACTTGAGTAGCTACAGCTTTGACATAAAGGAGAATTGTGTTTGTTGCATTATGGACAGACATATAAAATTGTGCGCTTGAAGATTCAGTAATCAAAAATGGAAGTCACTTTTGAGAATGTGTTTTCAAATTACAACATGCCAGCAGACAATGGAAGAAAATGGAAGTTTCATTTCAGATTTCTACTCTCTAGATATAAATTGCTTATAAATTTGAGAAACGTGAACAGGGCTGCCTGTGACAATATTCTGTCCTTTACATGTGTGATTTTCTCATCTTCCTGCTTGTACACCAGTGTGAACACAAATGCAGGCACAGGAATTTTATATAGAAACATTTAACTCAGTTACTTTTTGTGATGAATTATGCCTAAAAGTAACTAAAAGTACTTACCTTGTAGCTTAGATAAATCAGTAGGAGAGTTTCAAAGAGACTTATTAAAGCCACAGAAACCTTAAGTGAAGTGATAAGATATGTGTATTAATACTTGCTTCTTAAGAATCGATGACATTAAACATTACAATGAAAAGTGGAAGATAATAAAAACACCAGCTTTTCCATATATCCTCTGAAACCATCTCAGCTAACAGCATTTAGCATGAAACTTAAATATCATCATTTTTCCTGACTAAAGCACAGGCTCTGACTTCAGTCTCATTGCTCTTTTTGAGCAATGAGAGCCTGCAGAGTGGCCTTTCCATCATTTTTAGAAAGCTCCGTACACAATCTGCCAGATTATTTCTCGAGTTTCAGTTGTCTGTTCCTAAAAGGTACCGAGATCTTTTCACAAGACAGAGAGAGAAGGAGGAAGCTGTAAATAATGGAAGCTAGTCAGCTCTTTACTTTTCTCTAAGGGCGTTATGAATGAGTGGAAAAACAAATGCTTTTCTTACTGTGTATAATTCAGAAAGTTGAAAACAGAAGAAGAAGATACAGATGAATCATTACTGATATTAATATTTAAATGCAACTGAGCTCAACTTATCAGCCTTCATTTAGATTACATGTAGTTAGTGTCTGCATTATGTAATTTAAAAATACCTAAATAGTCAAATATCAAAATACTTTAAAAATTACTTAAAACTTCATATGCATTAAATAACCACAAAACTTAGTTAAATCCTTTGCACAGAAAATATTTGTATTTTAACGTGTATTGTGAGAATATTCTGTCAAGAAAATGTACAAATACAGCTGGGGCTTGAAGTCAAGCCTCCGGATTTCTAGTTTTAGACTAATGCTCACTACTACTGAAAACTCAGAAGAGTGCACTATGTGCACTCACAGTATCATTATCTAGAACTAAAAAAGATGCTATGAATTGGAAAAAAGATTAAAATACACAATCAAAATATATCAGTTTCTCCAAATAAATGTTATTGGCTTACATAAACTCATGTTATATCCGGAATAAAAATAAATCTTTGTTTGCAGCTATTGTATGTATCATACTGTGAATGTATGTGCATGCCTGCAAACACATATACATATGAATAAGTTCCTATGTTTATCAAATAAACTTATTGGAATAAGACTGTAACCATAAGCAAATAAATCTCTCAGTACTTTTTAAATTAAATTGAATACAATAACCTGAATATCTAGGTCAAAATTTATTCAAAATTTATGCAAGGAATTGAAAGGTATTTTCACCAGCCCTTAGTAAGCATGGTGCTAGAACATAACGGTGTAACCATTGTGGAAGCTTAAGCAATTCTTAGTAGAAAAACACATTTCATAGGGAGAATTCCCATACCACTGTCCAGGGGTTAAAAAAGTTTTCCTAAAATGAGCAGGGTAAAATGCAGGCTTTCATATTATGAAGTAGCTTTAGGTTTCCAGTGTATTTAACAGGAAAGTCCATGAAGTATATAAAAAGCTAGTGGTATGCAATTATGAAGTTTAAACTCATCATTAGAGCAAACAGTGAGTACTTGACTCAACAAAGCTGGATATTTCTAAGAGAAAAGGCTATATGATTCGACAATATTTTGTTATAAGCTTTAACACTTTATAAATATATTATAAAGCCATATAAATTCAAATCAGCTCAGATCAGCTTACTTTTACTTTATGCTTTTGTTCTACTTAGTCATCAAGTAGATTTCTTTGCCTCCAAGTACCCTTTAACATGATTAAAATGCTGTAAATCAATATTGTGTACAGTTATAAATGGAAATAGTTAAACTGGCCATTTACATATTACCTGTAATCCCCATAAAGGCATGCTTCGATTCACCCAAATAATAGGAGACCTATTCATTATAATTAAAAAAGAAATTAATCAAAACCTGGTTAGTGTTTTGAACAAAATCAAGAGAAAAAAATGTACAAGTAAATGGAAATGAGAGATGCCTTATTTTCTTTAAAAATAATTCTCAGTTATAAGGAGTATTGACATTGCTTGTATTTCTAATCCAGCGGCAATGATTGACTTCCCATAGGAGTAATCCAGCACTCAGTTACACCAAATTCTTTTAATGGCTTCAGTGGTTGCCACTTCATTCCTTGTGATTCCACAAAGAATAAATCAATTTGTGCTTTTGATTCTAGAGATGCAGAAAAATATGTTTCTGAGGTAGGAAAAAGAAACTTGACAATTCTTTTGTGTGAACTTTTTGCTATCTGCGTAATAATATAAATGGTATCTAACTCATAGGGGCTGTCATATCTCAGAAAAATCTCATGTTCTCTTAGTATTTACTAAACTCAATAACAGGCACCTGACACTCGAACCTGGCACACTCAGTGGCACAATAACTTATTGTTAGTCATTTACTACTAGTCATAATGGTTTTTTAAATAAGGGCATCCAGCATTTCAGCAAGATATAAGCATTGATGGCATTACAAGAGCATCCAGTTCATCAGTTCACTTCTGCAATCAGACTAACAATTAAAATCTTAAAGGCAGTTCTGAATGTTCAGCAACACGGGAGTAATTACAGAAACATCACTAATATATGTTAAAATGTCACCATTCCAGGTAGAAATTCATTCGTCTTCCTGTTTTATTCCCCTTCCCACTATTATGCGGACTTTTGGCTTGCTTTTTTGGATTAGGAACTCACCAATCAATCATTCCAGGTGTGTAGTTTTGATTGGAACAGCTTCGGTTTAATTCCTTACTGATAGTTGTCATCCCATCCATGCAAAGTCCGTTTTCATTAGCAAATGTGTGTGGGAACACAATCATAAAAACATGGAAGGAAAGGGATATTAATTACATTTTCAAGTGTTCTACAAAATGCATGCAGTAGTTTGAAACCCTAAGCAATGGATATAGGTGTTTCAAAAAGTAAAATAACTTTTAGAAAGTAGTTCTGATTGTGTTGAGTCTGTGGATAAAGGGCTGCGAAGCATTTCAGGTTGCATTTTTTTAAGATTTATTTTCAAATGTGTTCCAATTCAAAAACAAAACAACTTAAATTATACTTTTGAAAGCTGAACTAAGTGTCCAATAAATATCAAGGATCAAGGGATACTAGAAATCCTATCACATGGATAGGCCAGGATAGAAAGAGCATGTATACCTGCTGTATACTCAGTGGGAAAGATTGTATGAAACTGCACTTTATATCCTCTCACGAGGATGTGAGGAGGGCTGGAGATTCATGCAGCAATAATCCAAGTAATAATCTGGTGGCATGTATGTAAAACAGTAGCTATTATGTACATATGATGTTCTCTTGCCTTGAATGGCGGGCATAAATCTGCCTTTCAATGGTCATGTAAAAATGTAGGAATGCATATTTGTGTAAACATGAAAAATCATTCTTGCCTATCTTTGGCAAGCAAGGCCAGTGGAAAAGAAAAGGATTTGCAGACCACAAATTAGCAACACCTGTATTTTTACTGACTATGAGTGAGACAGGTGCTAAATGCTATCTGTTAATAAGGATGATTTATGTCTTAAGCTCTTCCCGGTACACCTGCTGTGCCTGAAGGAGTTTTCAGGCAAAAAATTCCTGAAAACAGGAAATAAATGAGCAGGTAGAGTTTGTGATGAAAAGCATTTGTCCCAGAATTGCCACTTTAGAAACAACAAGGTGATGATGTTTTCTGTGGCCATGCTCTCAGCACACTGAGGAGTTTCTTTCATCAGACTGTGACACACTATCGAAAATGGATTTTTTTTCCGTAACACTGCATTTGTACGAATGCATTATGACAGTAGTTTAGGTAGCAAGCCCTTGGGATCTCAATGGGCAAACCTACTGGCATTAATGGGGTATCATTTGGGCACAGGGCTGTTTTTGCTGGCACAGCTTCTAAGACTGGGGTCTTAGGAACACGCAGGAATGACTTATATGAAACTTCTCAGCCAGACAAACGTTTTACAGAGATAGAACAAACTAGTCTTTTAAATGTACAACAACACAATGTAAGGGAATAATATATATAGAAAATACGAATACCCTCTCTGACTGATGAATTGTTACACATTTACACTGAAGGAACAAACATGTCAGGAAAGGTGTGGAGAATGAAGCAGTCTGCAAGATGCAGAAAAATCTTCGCATATGAATACAGAAGTAGTGAAGTACGTACCAACCTGTTCTGCACACCCAGACATAACTTGGCAGCATAATACTCTCATTTGGGCTCACTAGAGCTCTCAAAAGAAAACAGTATCAGCAGTTTCTGCATGCCAGAAACTCTCACTAGCTCTAAAATTTCAAGTCCCTGAGCTGCTGTGCTACTATGCCTAAATTTCTAAGGATGGCTTTTTCTCCTTCACTGTTATAGATTTTGAGAAATCTTCAGTTCTTGCTTCCTCCCTAAACACTTCCTCTCCCTGAAGACACATTCTAAGATACATGAGGAGTTAAAAAATAGTTTCTTCCAGTTCTTGCTTTTCCAGGGAGATTTTTTCTGGCCCTTTTTCAGATGTTCTAATTTCTTAGAATATATTTTGACCAAAAATAAAATCTCAAATGTATCTTCTCTACTTCCCATTCACTCACTCTTCTTCATGCACTTCTGAGTAAAGCCAATATTCTTTAACTCACTTTGCTTTAGATCTGATTCTCATAAAATACAGTGTTTCTCCTGTGCACTAGCTTTTTTATAGTATTACCCTGATCAGATTTAACTGATTTTCAAATATTAAAATTAGAAGTCATACTTTGTCCTTTGCCTAACACTGTGGGAAGAGTGCTAGCTCTGTCATCCCAGAATTATCACCTGTGCTTTGTTTCTTTCAGTATTTAAGGTCAACTGATTCAAATCAAGTGAAAGGAAGTCAGTTAATAAAATGTGGTGCTTCTTAGCATTTAGAATTGAGAAGATCCACTATATCCAGGATACAAATAAAACTAAGTGCAGAACTGAATAAATTATAAATAGAATTGTTTCTGCAATTGGTAGCTGATTGTATAACACCCGAGGAGGGAAAACAAAAAAAAAGAGTACCCAGTGACCTGTATAGAATACCATGCTGACAATTGTAGGTGTGCAAAAATCACACATTATGACCATAGATCATGGAGTATAGAATGTACTTTCAGTCTCCGCCTCTTCTGAGAGACAGCAGAGGCTAGAAAATTATCATCAGTGTCATCTGCATAAAACCTTAGTTTCATGCATATTTGTCTGTTTCCAGGATTTGGGATTTTAAGTAAAATTACTTCAGCACAATTATTTAAATAAAATCCTAAAATTATTGTTGCATAACCTGGCAACCTGTTATTTGCAATTTCATTTTTATAAATGTAAACACAAGTAAGATACACAAAAATGTTATGTAATAATACAGCTGAAAGATGTAGGTTTGGACAATTCTATCTGATACACAGTATCTGAACAAAAAGCTAGGATTATTTTAGCAGTAAAGTGATAAAAGAATATTGTTATTTTAGTTCTTATTTCAATTCACTAGCTTTATGAATTTTCCAAAACACCTGTAAGTCATAAAACTAAATCCCCGTTGACAGAATATCAAATATTTATTCATTAAATTCATTTATTACTTATAAGTTGAACAACACTTTGAGAGCAGAAATAACAAAAAACCCCAAACACATTACCATCCAAGTCCTTGTGTAGGATCATCCAGGAGTACACGAACTATGTATAAAAAACAGCTCAGTAGCTTGAGAGAAAAATTGAATAATCGTATTCTCAGACCTATTTTAAAAAGAAGAGAAAGTACAGAAATAAATTTAGGTTCTTTACAGTTTCACCCGCTTTTACAAGAAAACTAAAAGGGACTAAAATAGCCATGCTGCAACAGAGCAAAGGTCAATCTATCCACTAACTTGACCCTGATAGGAGCAACCGGCGTATCATACAGAAGAATGCAAGAATAAGGCTGTCAGGTACACATACAAGGCACCTTTCCAGCTTCTGGAAATCTCTAGGTTAAGACTCAGTCTATTTTAATGTAAAGAACTACTCAGTCATTTGTTTGAAAGCCATTCGTCTTTCCTGACACCTTTCTTTGGGTCTTTTGTAGTTTTACAAGTTCACTTTCCTGAAAGGTGAATAGGAACTACACATGGTATGAAATGCAAGATACAGCAATATGAAGAAGACATACTTTAAACAACAGGCAGAAGATATACAATAGCAAGTATTTAAATAGTTAAATCTGAAAATCTTTGTGTAGTAGCTTCTTATACATAGTATATGAATCCTACCCAACTTATATAATAGTAAACTATAGTTAGTTAATGTTGAAGTTGTGTAATTATGTGTCCAAGAATCAGGACATCCGAAAGTTATACTGAATCAACAACTTGTTCTACAGACCATGTGAGTATTGAACTATTGTAGCTGAAAGGACATATTGCAAATACTATCACAAAATATTGGAGTATTTCCCACAAACATAGGTCTACTGCACAAAGACAGAATTCCTTCTAAGGGATCCACATGTACACTTGCTTCTGTCACATGGGCAATTTATTTCAGTGCTAATTGGAGCTGTTATCTACTACAGTGGAACTTAACTGTATTTTAATCAGATTTTGCAGTCATTAGAGGATTAGACTTGAAATTTTCAGTCTTGTTATTAAATTCAATAGTCTTAAAATTTTGCCAGTGTAAATATTTGTATCTAATTCTTGGGTTTAAGTTTTTGTTCACTAATAAAATTGAAACTGTCTTTTGACTAAGATCAAGTGGTGGGACTTCTGAGTATTAATTTTTTTCCAGTCTTGTGACCTGAAAGCAGAATACCATTGACTGAATCTTACACAGACATGACTTCATTTACACCTAGTCGTAGGAAAAATAGCATCTTTTATCCTTCTGTTAGAAATACATTAGCAGATCTGCTGAACTCAATATACTTGCTTCTGTGGTTTAAGAACTACAGCTTCATTACACCCACCCGAAGTTGTGTGCATACACTGCCTTTGAAGGAAAGAATCATAACTATCTTATGGTAATATTATATGCTTTTTGACTTAGTTCTAAAATCAAAATTAACACCTTACAGGTAACGCTGAGAAATCGTCTTTTGTATCTACTGGCAAACACGGAAAAATAGATTCTTAAAGTTTCTAACATGTAATTGCTGAAAGAAATCTTAATATTTGTCACACAGCACTGCTTACTCCTATTAACTGTGAACTTGAGTTATCACATGAGAACTGGATGGACTTTTACAGCATCCTGTTATCTGTAAATTAGGGGTTAAAATCCTGTGGTCCCGACTATCAGAAGTCCCCCAGCTGTTAGTGGCAATTAGGTTCGTGAACATTAGCCTAATCTATCAAGGGTAATTAGCCACAGACTATTTATTCCCCAACATGAGTGAAGAGGATGAAGTAGCAAATGGGTTGAGAGGAGTAAAGTAAGTCAAGTGTGTTATTATGCTATTATTTGACCAGGAGGAGCGCCAGTACTTTTCTTAGACAATGCTATGCTCTTCTTATGCAGCTTTTTTGAACTGTTCCTGAAGAAAACATGAATTGTTTGTCTGTACTAACCCTTTTGTGTAAGTCTGCTGGAGTATGAATGGTTGCCATAACAACTAGGCTATTACAACAAGAAGAGCAGACAACGTTTAAAAAAAGAAAAAGAAAAAAGCCTGAAAGTCACCTAACTACAAACAAACAATAATATCCTACCTGGATTTCTTTTCATTAGCAGTTTAGTGTTGTCTAACTTTCTTAGGTAAGTACAACAGTCTTATTGTTTGTTTCTTCTGGGTTTTGGCTTTGTAAATGTTAATCCTGATGTGAAAGACTTCTTTTGTGCATTGATAATGGCCTGGTTTCTAATCGCAGCTTAAAATTACACGATGTTTTAAATGCTAGAAGGAAATGGGGCTTTTCTGAATACCAACTACATCAATACAAGGGACCCATGCTCTTGCCTGCTGCTTTTAACTCTGAAATCTTAGTCCAGAAAGATCTAGAACTACTTAAGTATTCAAGTTCCACGGATCTATTCTAGGCAATACCTAAAAGTGCTTCAGGCTCCCGATATCTCGGTAGGAATGGATGTTTCCAAGAGAATTTAAGGCAGGGTTTTCACGCTAGACATGCTGTCATCTACGGGTTCCAGTTAGCATACAGAGTGCACATCATGGACTGGATTACATATAAAGTAAGGCAATAGGATATGTCTTGTACCACAAGTGTTTGGGTTAGTTATTACATGCAGTTGGTGGATCAACATTGTCAGCTTGACTTAATTTCTTTTTTTTTCCATTCACAGACAGACTGTTCAAGTAGCAGGGTCATTTTGCACAGAGTATCTCTATGATTTGCCACTGGTGCCTGCAACTTGTACTCAGCTATATCAGTCACACATGGTCACACAGTTAGGTATTGTTTAATGAGGTTGTAATGTCACTGTGTACATACTGTTATAACCTGTCTTCTTTAGAAGAATGGATTGATAATAACAGTTCAAAATCTATTTGTTTTGTGAAATAAGTATAACTGCATTGAACGTTAATGTTTCCTTGTCAGTTTGAACATGTGTTTGCTGGTTTTTACAGGCATTTTTAAGTAGAATGATATATTACACTTCACCAATATTGACTGTGACTTTTGTTTTTATAATAATTCTAGATGCTTCCCTTACAAGCATTTTTGGACATCAATCCTCTGATCTAGAGAGCTGATCTAAATAAAAGCAAGAGGGACAGAGGTAGCAGTTGAAAATTTTACGATCACCTTTCAATATTCCTTTCTTGTAAGTCTCTAACATACTTTTTGCTTTTAGCAAAAGCATCTCAGTAGCAATTGGCTATATGAATTGGATCAAAATATGTTGGCAATAATTTATATCCTTGTGATGGTTATCTTTTATTCCCTCTTCACTGAATTGAAACTCCACTTATTTCTTTTCCTTTTGAGACTTATTTTAGGCTATGATAACACAGTGTGTGTGATCTTGGCAAGTACAAGCAAGTCATATCAATATGCCGTCTCTTTCTCTCTGTTTTTTTCAGGGGGCTGGGGGCTGGCTGACACCTTTGTAAAATGCTTTTCATGCATTGATTGAACTTGATTAGACATTTGCTTCCTGAAGTTTGAGTGAAAGGTAGCCTGACATTAGATGTAGGTGAGGTCTTGTTTTATCAGTTTATAGAAATACTTTCAAAACCAGAATAATGGATGAAACAGTTGATATTTCATGCTACGCATCTCTGTGTGATTTATATCAGAATAATATTCCTTGGAAAATTCATGTAAATTCTAGAGTTGACTGCTGTAGTTTACAAAACCATGTGAAATTACTCTGATATGTTAAATTCACTTGTGAAGTCTTAAGGATTAGCAAAAACTGTTTGGTGAACTTGTATAGTTTGATCTAGTTATAGTATCTGGAAATTTGCTGACAATGCAATTATTTTCTTGACGATAGCAATTACATCCTTAGTATGCAAAGGAAGGTTTTTGGTGCTTTCACTGAACATCGACTAAGATCTAAAGGGCAGTAGCTCCCTGGTACCTCTGGGCAACAGAATTCCCCAGTTTTAGCGGAAGATTGAATGAGTACCCTTGAATGAGTGGCAGGTACTATCTGAGCAGAAGGTTTTGCAAGATTGTATTTTAGACTATTCTGGTTGTGAGTATTTGGACAAGAACCAAGATGTGGATATGCAGAAGGTGTGTTTGAATTTTCTAAATCTGAACACTTTGGTTAGGGGACTTTTTTCCACTCAGTACAGTAATAATTTTGCTATATCCTCTGCTTGTTTCTCCTGAAAATTGCATTGTTTAGTGTCTAATTGTTGGTTAAACTTCTTGCTTTATGAGACACAGTAGCAGTACTAGGGTAAGCTATGGAATTCTAGTGGGAAAGGGCATGCCCGTAGCATATGCTGCTCTAAGTACAGTAGGCACCCTCATTCTCCAACTTACTTTCTGTGAACTGGCAGCATAATTCAACAATAGAAAAAAACATGCCTCATGTCTTAGAATTTTCTTTGGAGTCTTCTCCTGAGGACCTGTCAGGAAAAGAGGTGCCCATAACACCTTCTCCACTAGCTGTCTACAGGAAGAACGCATTACTGCATTTTCATTGGTTAATCAATAACACAGCATGCTTCTACAAAATTTACCTCAGCTCTGTATGGCATCACTGTGTAGGAGAATTCATCAGAATCTGGAATTTTCCAGCCAACATCAAGCAAGCCAAGCAGGAAAATTCTTGTGCTACTTGTTTATAGCATGTGCTCCTCTCTAATAGGATGAATTAACAGCTGTTTCCCAATCTCTTGCTTATTTCAAATAAACTTCCACATCATTCCTCTCTTTGGACCCATAAATCATCCTTACCCAATCATGACCCAGTAGAGGTGTGCCAGTATAGTAACTTTTGACAATTCTCTTAATGTGCTTAGCTAGAAGAGTATGCACTTGGTAAAGGAATGGCTGTGAATTCATACTAATTAAGTAACTTCTGTTGTAATTTTTTGTGCTGATGGTCATAAAGGTATCTAGTTTTAGATGTACCGAGTCAGCAGTTCTGCTATTAAAATATGTATCTGGATATCTACAGTTTTTAATCTTGTTAGATCATAAAAGTGAAAAACTATTTTTTAACACGGCAAGAAGATACTATTCAGAACCTTCCTGTCATATCAGTGAAAAGATATTTACAGCAAGTCAGGTCATAATTTCACAGATATTCTTAGATTCAATGGACTTTTGTTTATTTACTGTTTTATGGACTAGATCAGGAACAAAAAGTCTATTTATTGCTTACAGCTTCCCAGACTGTCTGTCTAGGCAGGAGTAATACTCTTTCCTAGTTTAGGATGCTTTTTCTGTTGTGTCTCTTACTCCATTACACACTATATAAACGATGTCAGAAGTCAAAGGCTATAAAGATATAAAAAACTTAAAGACATGTGAAGTCACAGGGAGAAAAGAAGAGATTTAAAACCATTTGAGAAGTTCTAGTGCAATTAATTACATTTAAAATGCAAACCCAGTTAAACTCATTTATCTCTAGCAAGAATCACAGAATGGCTGAGGTTGGAAGGGACCGCTGGAGGTCGTTTTGACCAACTCCCCAGCTCCACTGGGAGTTGCCCAGGACCATGTCTATGCTATTTTTTAATATCTCTATGGAGGTACACTACAAAACCTACACGGAACAAGTAATTCTTTGCAACACAGTTAGATTTGTAAATGTAGAATAGAGTATGATGTGGTTTTTCACGCATCTTCTGTGCATACTGAGGTTTTGTACACATTCTTTCCGTAGTGACCAAAATGCAATAACAGAGTTCTAAATTAGGCTAATATAGAATAAGAAACTTACTTCAAATAAAAATTTTCATTAGACAATATATATTTACCAAGCATATCTAGTTAAATGTATAGTAATGTGGAAAAAAAGCCACACTATTTCCCCTCTGAAGTTCAGAAGAGAAGATACTCTGAAGGCTATCCGTATAATTTACTAGCAGGGGTAGTCCTCTGAATTCTATGCTATTTAGCCACCTGAATTAAGATGAGTTTTCCTCTCTGCATCTACAAAGTGTAATAAAAAAACTTTTCCCATTGATGAACTTCCAGCAGCTTTGTTAAACCCGATTCTCTACTTGGAAACTCGCAAATAATTCCAGTGTCCAAACTGAAAATATCAGTTATTCACAGCACAATGCTGTCTTTGATTTATTTTTTTTTTGGAGGCAAGGGGGTTGGTTTTGTTTTGGGTTTTGTGTGTGTGTGTGTACATGTGTGTGTGTGCAGCTTTGGGGAATATTTTGCTTATCGCACTTGGAAAGTTCGAGAAGCTTTAGCCAGTAAAAAGATCATGTTCTGTGATTAATATTTATTTAATATTAGATCTTACAAGGAGAAGATCTTACAGTCTGTCTTATTTTTAAAAACTTGATCTAGTCTCCCAAATTTTGTTTGTCTGTTTGTTTTTTTTTTTATCAAGAAACCAAAACGTAAAGTTCTTTTCTTTTTCTCCTTTCTGTCCTTCTGTTCCCAGACACAAATCCCTGGAACCATCATAACAGTATTACAAGGGCCAAAACGTATTCTTTCTATTCTAAAAACTTTATGTATAAAGCAATTGTCATTTTAATTCTTTAAAGGTGCAGGGCAAATGAAGTTAAATTCAATCCACTGGTCTAATCAAGTTTTAATAATATATAATGCTTCCATCCCCTTGGACCAGCTGCATAGATACGTATAAATAACTTAGTTCATCCAGATCATTCTCCTTTATGATGGCCTATGAATTAAAGCACATATGCCAATGAAGTTATTGTTAAATCTGGCTCAAGACAAGGACTACGTTTCTGAGGTACCATGTGTATGTCCTCCCTAGTAGTTTCCCTTCCAAATTGTTTTTTTTAGTACAGATTAAGGTTGAAATGTATTTAGGAATACTTAACAAAATTGAACATTTGAAAAAGCTACGCACTTCTGCAGCTTTTTTTCCTCCAGCATCTTAGAGGCTCTTTGCTTTTCTAGACATAAGGTCATGACTTGTCAATGAACACTGCAGTGTCAGATCCATGCAGATTAGTCAACTTAATCATAATACAGAAACAAAGTCACATCATTAAGTATGTTGATTTTAAGTTTACATAATTCTGAATTTGTTTTGGATATTAAGTAAAATTGACTCCTCTATGGGGTAAAAATTTAGCTCAGAAGAAAATGCATTATAACTTTGCTGCTGCCTTCAATGAAACTGGGTTCTACTCAACGTATCACAGTCATGCTTAACAGAAACTAATTCAGCTGCTTACTTGATCTTTGGTTTTTGATGAAGAAGAGCTTTAGTCTCTCTTTAAATGTATTTTCATTCATATAGAATTCAACTTGCACCCTGAAATATAAAAGAAAGTATTAGCATTGAATATAAAAGATAATAAATGGTTTTTTTCAAAATATTTTGTTTTCCTAATTATCCATTCATTATATATAACTTCAAGAACATACAGTTTTCAGCCAAAAGCTCACTTGGATTTGAATGAAAAATGTTAAAAGATAAAAAGGCTCAACTTAGAAACAAACGAAAAAACAAGCCCAACACCCCAAAACTTATTTTCTCATATCCACACCTTTGAAAGGAAGATTTCTTTGATGTTCAGGTTAAACCTTGTATATCTGTTTAATTTCTTTCCTTTAAAATTGCCATTTTAATGACGCTTTTTTTTTTTATCTTGTTCATAGCCCTGTTAAGCATTCATATCTTGGTTCAGCATTCACTTCTTGTTCACCTTTAATCAAATGGTCATGCACCAAACAAACCATGCTTTCTGAACTTCGCTTTTATCACAATGAAATACTGAGACCTGGAAGCAAAATTATGTTGCAATCGTACAATACTGTAAAGAAAATAGCTCCCTTTCTTGATTTTTATTTAGGCAACAGTACAGTTTATTTTTCCTCCCTTCCTTCTAGATTTGCTAGGATGCGTTTCATGTTTGTCCCTCAATTCAGTCTATTTCATGTAGCAGTTTACAGTGTAGAAGAGAGAAGAGAAAGGGGAAAAGAAAGTGTGCGTTGGTTGTATAGAAAAACTGAGGTCATTCCAGAGTGGTGGAGCTGTGCTGCTTGCTGTAGGATGAGTGCAGCATTAGTTCTGTCCTTGCTCTGTTCTACTGACTGAATTTCCCTTGCCAATCCCAGTTCTCCTCCAGCAATGCATCTCTTCACCTCAGCACAATTTCTGTGCCTTCCAGAGAAGTCAGTCCTCAGTTTGAGAACTCTTCTACAGTTAAAGGATAAAGTGACATTTCAAAGGATAAAGTGACATTGCAACAGTGAGTTACTGCCTTACTTCTCACTTTCTCTGGGTACCATCATGTGTGGCAAAACTGCATATACCTTTTCTCTTCATAGGTATACTTGATCTTTATTTGAGCATTTCCTGTCAGCAGTCTTTAAACAATTGCTGTATTTAATTACTTGTTCTTTTACATACTGTCATTTTCCAGGCAGGATCCTGACTGTAGTTTTTCCATTCTTGCATGTGAAGCCTTTGCTGAAACAATTTTTGTGTAATATAGCATTATCTATAATGTCTCTCTTCCCTTCAGATACTTGTCTAACACTCTATGTATTTCTGTACATTTATGGAGTTGGAGGATTATTTAGTTATGGGCCCAGAATGGAGGGCATCTCAGGAACTACGACTTTTTCATGATTGCTTACTTACTACCCGAAGTTTAGGAACATCATTTTGTAGGACAGGGTCAGCACATCATAAAAATAAAGGCTCTCTATGACTCACTTAGTGAGGTCAGTTAATTTTAGCTAGTCACCTCTCTTTGGTGTGGTTTATTGTAGCATTCCTTGTAGAATGGATAATTGCACTGCTTCATATTCAGAGGAAGAGAAAACATAGCTATTTTTAAGAATCTATACTGAAACTGAACTCTCTATCTTAAAGAATTTTGTATTTATTTCTGTGCAATGACATGCCTGACAGCAGTAAGAGCAAGCCTTACCCTAGAGGAGTTTTTCTGCTCTCTCTGGCTCCACTCCTTCTGTGGTAAGATCTTTAAGCAGTTGAAATTAAAGAGGAGGAACCCAACTGCCCTCTAGTTTTTAAACTAAGAGTAGCTGTGACTGCATACTTCAAAGAGCTTGGTCCCAGAGGAATGCCCTAGAAACTGCAGCCAAACTAGAGGTGAAGCCCGTCAGTTGAAGAGCAACTTGCTTCTGGGCTTTTACGGAGCTTAACCATAGACTAGGGGCTGTGCTGTTCAAGACCACAGGAGTCGTGGCCATTGAGAGAAGTACAACTTCGACAGCTGGTAACCTTAAGGCAAGTTAAAGAAGCATGTCCGGAGGTTAATTAGTAGGTGAGCAGGTTTGTGGCAGCCTGAGCTCTGCTTCACTTCTTTTCTGCACATTTCCCAAGGTATTTACTGTCACTAATGCAGTGACAGTTTTAGTAGGACGTGCCATGATTTGACAGCTGCTACAAGCTAAGTGTATATACTTAATCTTCAAGGACATATTTCAGTAGGTAAACAAAGTGGCACAAGCTATTGAAGTAAGGGATGTTATTTAAAAGGTGCGCAGTATAGGTGATCTTTTTTACACATTTTCAACTAATCTCTGATTTGTCAGTAAGAAAATTACAGTAGTCACATATCATGAAAGAACAACATGTTAACAGTAAGCCATGATTTAATGATAATGAGGAAAGAGGATGTGGGAGCTAATCACCCTCATATCACTACCATTATGAATTGCTCTGATAGCCTTCTAACAGCTGTCTGCTTCTCCTTCCTTAGCAACCTGTGCTCACAGCAGACTGGGATTCCACAGTGCAGCGGTTTCCATGGCAAAATGGATTATGAATGCTGCTAATACCACTTTTGTGGCTCAACTCCTCCTTCTACTTCCCCTGACTTTTTTTAAACTTAAATAAAAACTATATGAGGCTTCTACATTTGCAGGAAATACATCTATAATGCATCTATAATCATTGTATGCTTTCATGATACTCTGACTGCCAGACAGAGAATACTTCACTTTGTTTCTGAAAGGTTGTTGTTTACAAAGTAAAGCTAAGAATGAATGTCTGAAGGAGCTACCGGCAGGGATAAGGATAGAAACTTCCAGATACTGTTCCTTCCCAATACTCAGCTTTTTTTTTTTTTTTTTTTTAGGGAGAACACTTGTTCTACTTGAACCTTTGTTGTAATGTTTCAATAATGAAACTTTCACCTCAAGTATTTGCTCTTTTCTGTATTTTTCCCACTGTCAAGTGTACCCTAGAAAAGAAGTATTTTGGGAAAATACCACAAATTGTGATCCTTGTTTGAAATATTAAGATCATTTAGTAATAGTGAAGGCTTGAAAAATCTTCTGGAAATAATTGCGTACAAGTTAGTAAGGATGTTTCAAATGAGTGAGTGAAATTCATTGCCACATACATATATAAAACTTGATTATTCTGTTGCAGGATAAATTCTGTTGCTGGAATTTGATCCCAAGCAAATGGTTTTGATGAAATGGCACACATGCAGTACAGAGTGATGGTATATGTGTATGCAGACCATCTGGCCTACTGAATAGGTTTGGGTTTATTCTATATTCCTAATGTAAGTAATTTAAAAGTGTAGTTTAAAGAACTGGTTTCATGGGTTTTATTTCCCTATAAAAGACAGCTGGCCAAATGGAAATCAAGCTGAATGACTGAAATGCTGTTCCTTGATGATAGTTAGTGGGACAGAAATATTTGATGAGCATAAGGATTTTCTGTATCAGTGAGTTAATCAATTCTGACCGTTTCTGTGGATGTGGTAGGCTTTGTATCCTCTGAAAAGCTGCTTTTGGAAGTTAAAGAAGAGGTGTTATGCTTTACTGACTCTTGCTTCAGCTTTCTTGAAAATTCACAGATCTATCTGTGGCAAAAACAACTGAAATTACATGATTATCTTGAAAACACAGTGGGTTGGGGTTTTTTAACATACTTAAATACCATTACTAGTGATCTTCCCTAGTTTAAGCCCAAAGAGCAGTGATGTAAGTGGAATCTTACAAACTCTAAGCAGCATCTTGAACGACCCAAAGTACAAGTATATATTACATCTTGACTGAATTAGAAAAGTGCAATGTGAGTAGCACATTTTAATGAAGTATAGCAGAAAAATACTAATTCATGCTAAGGACACTAAGGCAAAGCACTTTTCATGACTGTAAATCACTGGGACCAATCTGCCTGCACTCAGATTACTTAACTAATTTTGTTTGCATTTTTCCATTGCTATTTATAATGTCATTCTAACCCCATAGCCACGCTTTATTATAGTAACAGTATTATCTTGCACCCTCAAATCTACAAATTTTTTCTTTTGTGTTAGAAAATAGCAGATCTGGCAGAAATAATTCCTTCAAAACTGGAAGTATGAGTTGGACTTCTCACTATGTGCCAGCTAAGAGCTGCAAATATTTGTTTATTATTTGATATTGGAATCAAGAAAAGGTATTAACTGTACAAATGGAGCTAATCTGAAAAAAAATACATTGATTTATTTAAAACAGTCTGTATGGGAAGGGACATTTCATATTTTTCCCACAAGAAGAGCCTTGTAATATAGACACAATAGATTTTTTTTTTAATTGAGATTTGCCAATTTAATATACGTGGAATCCTCTTAGAATTCAAACATGGAAGTTTATTATGTAAAGTGTAGATAGGTGCCTAAAAATTGAGTAATTGAAGTGCTAAAGCAAACTGCTATTGTCAGAGCGTGTTTTACTGGGAAAAAAAAAATAAATAAAAGGGCATTTTCTTTTTTCTTGTAGCTTTTAATAAAAGATTAGTCTATTTTAACAATGGCTGTCTTGGGTAGCATCTCTCTTCTTTTTGAAGTTTTCCAAGTTCTAAAATGCTCGGAACTCTGATTTGTCAAGAGCGTCAGACAGAAACGCTCATTTGACTTCACAGGCCTTCTCATTCCATCAGAATCAATACCTCATCATCTTGTGCTGAAGGAAATGGTGGTAAGACCAGTACTTTTCCGTTACTGGTTCTTAACTTGGTAGGGCCTTCTCTTTCTTTCTTTTCTTTTCCTTCTATTTCTTTTCCTTTTAGGAAATCAGTCCTCAGTTGCATAGGTCATGATGAACACTGAAGAGATGAAGTTCTGAGTTTTTTGCTTTCTTTCTATACTGAATGACAGCACCCCAACACAAATTGTAGTAATTCAGGGACAGGGTGCTTGTTTCCTCTCACTTATTGGAAACACAAAAAATGTTATTTCTTGTTCAGGCTCCTAATGTGGTGGTCCTTCTTGAAGGGCGAGCATGATGTGAGAGGGATCTGGATGCCAGGTCTTTAAAAGCTGTGTCCTTACTGAAGCTGTTGGGCATGCGCACTGCTAATGAAACGTAACATCTGCAATATGGCTCTGCATTTTTGTAAAGATGACTTCTAACAAGTGTAGAATAATTAAAACGGACAGGTATAGGGTCTTTTTCTGATAGGGGATTTTATCTGTTTATTATGAATAAACCAATAACTGTTTCCAAGATCCCTGCAGAGCTGTTCATATACTATTGTCCTGTAGATTCTTTATAATGCTGTGAATGTACATGACCGAACACAGGTTCCATGCCTTCTAATAATTGTCTTGTAGTAGGCAGTATTACCTATTATCTCTTTATTTTTCCACACTAAATTCTTGCAGTACTCCTTCAGAACAACTTATGCAGTATAATTGTCTGGTTCAAATTTGAACTGTCACATAACAAAGACATGTTTGTCTTAATACTTAGTTTATGCTATGACATCTTCACCTGAGCATTTCTTTTGTTCTTTTTTTTTATGGGTATATTTATTTTGACATTATCTTCTAAATCAGTGAATTCAAGTTAATTTATCTAGTGAAGACATACTTACATTTGCTTGATTATGTAATTGGATGTTGCCAAAACTAATGGATTTATAGAGAGCAGGTGTTAGCAGTGTCACCATAAAAATCCTCTGTATTAATCAAGTTAGAGATAGCATGAACTGAGTTCACCTTATCCACAAGTTACAGAACAAAAGATCAATGATGCAAAAATAACCTTGTAGCTTAGAACTGTGCATGCTCAAGCCATTTTTATTATATTTTTCCAATAAGTGCTGCTTACTTGAATTAAAACAAATCCAAGACAGCATCAGAAAATTGGCCAAACTGAATTTTTCAGGTTGCATGAAGTAAAAATTTGTACCTGAAACCACAAGAAAATATTTCCTATGTAAAGGCAAGCTTTTTAATTACGTAATTGTTCAAAAGCCAAAATGCTAAAAATTTCAGCCCTTAACTAAAATTTTCTTTATTACAATTTAAATAGGA